TTTTGTAAACTAGTATCTTTTGACATTATCTCTCTGCAGTACTAAAATTTATTATTTACTTATCTATATATTTATATTCACAGTTTTTGGTATCATATACGAGATGGTATACAAACTTTATTTGTGGCTAATACAACTATCTGGCCATAATCTCTGGCAAACTGTCTCTGAACAGTCTCTAAGCACCGAATATTAACTGTAAACTATGGTCAACACTTAATTTTCCCTCGAATTTTGCTCCATTTAATTTTAAAAAACACGAAACACACGTAATAACACAGTCCAAAATGCAAAATGCAAAATATTTATCATTTCTATTTGACATAATTTGATGCAAAATTATAACCTATAATTTGGCAAGAGTGTGACAACTCTCAAAAATCTTAAGTCGAATTCATACGCGTCGGCTTCCGTTTGTCGTTCATCGTTCCGTCAAACCAATAAATATGATCTCATTTCATTGTCATTTTTGAAATAAACCAATAAAACAACAAGAGACGACACAACGGATTTATATGTAAACTTATCTGTAGTTAACTTAAAAAATATTAGAAACTTTTTTTAGGAAAACTAAAATGGATGTCAACTGCTTGTTTTCTGTCATCGTCTGTCAAAATCTTAGCTGAGAAAAAAAAACAGAGTATATAAGGGAAATTGGAACAACTTTCGTTGCACGTCATCAATGACAACATGCGTCGTCTTATGGAGTTTGCTGGTAGTCGTATTATGATGTGCAACGAAAGTTATTTTAATTTCCCTTGGTGGTGTACAAACATACAGAGATAATTTACAAACTTTATTGATGACTAATAGAACTCTCTGGGTATACACTTACATTTCCCTCGATTTTTCCTCCACTTATCGCAAAATATTTCATTTTCCAAAACGAGTCATTTTCCAAAACGCTGGTTATTTCATATAGTCCTTTCGAGCTACCAAAATTCGTGTATTTTTAGTAGGGGGCCTATTTTTTATCATTCTAAATAATTTTTAAGGTGTTAACGTTAAAATTAAGCGTGGAAGTCACTTCGAAAATTTTAGCGTTTGGTCGCTACATTAAATTATACCGTATGATCGAATAAGAACGGCGTCAGCGGTGGTTATGAAATGAACATCGATGACATTTCCCATATAAAATTTACATATAAAATGACAGCGATCTTCATTTCATAGCCACCGCTGACGCCGTTTTTATTCGATCATACGGTACCAGTAGAAAAAAATAAAGGTATAAATAAAAATAAGATGTGCCTCTCGGAAACGGTAAGTATCTTAGATGAGGCCTCTGCGAATAGAGCTAATAGAGTTATATATTCACCCCATTTAAATTGTGTTTGGAAAATGCACAGTTTCCGAGATATTTAATTTGAAAGATTTCGATTTAACTAATCGGTCTGCATCGATCCACGTCCAAAATATTTTCAAACGGGAATAAGTGCAAAAAGCTCGATTTTTACCGGGAAAATTTTTGGAAAAAAGTGTGATTATAGGGCTCCACTAGCTCTATCCGTAGATGCCTCACTGGTTTATTTGCATTTTTCGGTATTGGCAAAATTTCAACTTTAAATCGTGTTCCACGAGTCCGTATGAAAATCTAAGAACTGGCGATTTTTTATTTTTTTATTTTGTATTTATTAAGTTAAATAATTCGGCTTCAGAAAAAGGGAATAAATATAAGCTATTATTAATTATTTTATTATTGGAATGATTATATGATTGTACTTTTGATATTTTATTTCTTATTCGATACGGAGCTTCTTTAAAATTTGTATTGAAATAATTTACTATGAGTTCAGGGTCTTGTATGATATTATTATCGATAGATAATTCTATGTTGGACTTTTGTTTTTCAATTTTACATTTACTGGGTTCTTTAACTATACTCCATGCCACACTTCTTCCGGTTATGAATTCACGATATTTTTTTCTCATAATATATTTTTTTTGTCTAGTTTTTAAATTTCTATGTTTGTTTTATATTCTTTATTTTTATAAAATTATTTATATCTTTTAGATAAAAAATAAAATTTTCAACTTTTCCTGGAGTCTCTAATTTGTTGTATTGTAAGATTTGTTGGAATGAATTAGTTTAGTCTTCTTCTTAAGAGGAAAACATATTAAAAATGATACAAAATATATTTAAAAATAAGATCCATACCTTCCCTCTCTATTATTACATATTATATCAATTTTCCCGACTCATTCTCTAAAGCAGTTTAAAGAGCTATTAATACTACAGTTATCAATTTTCGTTTTAAAATGTGGCAGTCTTATTGCAATTTGTGATATTGCCAAAATGTTGAAAAATAGCTCTGTAGTCGCTGTGGGGAACATCCACCACAATCGGGGAAATTCTCAGTCTCAAAATTTATAAGAAAATTTGATCTAGCGTTGACCACAGATGTACCTTGCACCCTTGTAGAAAGAGTGTATCAAGGTGGTAAAAATAGGCAACTCAATGCAAAGTAGACGTTGAAAATCATTGTTATTTTTTAAATGCAATTTATATTAAAGTCACCTGTAACTATTAGATAATCGCTTGGTTTATATAAAATTTAAAACATTATATATATTATCTATAAATATATTCACATCTCTAGTGGCGACCGATAGAGATTTACTAATTTATATATTCCATTTTAGACTAAATGAAATTGCATACCTCAATTTTTCACTACAAAATTATCCACGTTAATGACCTTATAATCCATACCAAGTCTAGTCCAAATTCAAGCATACCACGTTGATACACACTTCAGCAAAGGCCTCACGCCAATTTGCAATCCGGTATACATATGCTGTCTGTATTTTCAGTATTTACACCATGTTTCTGTTAAACATATAAACGTAAAATTTTGTAATTTTTCAATATCCATGAAATCGGAATTATCAATTTGGTCCGCGTTTAATCCTGTATGTTGAGAAGCAGCAGATTTGAATTTATGATGTATCTATGATATATCTTTTACTATGCTCTCTGGAACAGCATGCGGCCCGTCTGGCTGCCGATGCCCGTTGCGTTCACTACTGCGCATCGGAAGAAGATCCTATATGTTTTTATTAATTTAGTCCTATAAATTCTAGTATTGAATACAAATCGAACATGTCTCCATAGCGCAGTGCGTAGAGTTTCCGACTAATAAAAATATAGAATCTTCTTTCCAATTACGCAGAGGAGACACAAACATTCCTGGCGATGGACGGGCCGCATGCTGTTCTAGAAAACATAGTGAATATATCAAAACAGACGTCTTAAAATACTTGTTTTTTCCACGTTGCAAGCTCTCATTACTCAGTGCCAGACAGGCCTAGGTCAACTAGGTCCGGAGCCTGGGGCAAACTTGAATTTTAGGGCAGCAAGTTTGGGCAGCCGCCGAATATTTATCTTTTTTTAACTTTTATTTGTTCATAAAATGTTTTGAATATACCCTTAGCTGATTACATGTTATTTACTTAACTATTATTGTTATATAAATGTATAATTCCTTGGGTTGTACACTACTACATTATTGCCATTACATCAGTTAATAAATGCATAAGCCCTCGAATATAAAAAATAGAATTCAAAACATTAAAATTTAAGAGGCCTAAAACCCGATTAGATGCCTCTAGTCTCCTTAAACAATTCAAAAGCCTAGAAATGGGTTTTATGGCGGTATTTTGGACAGACGTTTTAAATAGATTAGATGCGGTCAATAAAAAGCTTCAAATGGTGGATATTGATCTACAACTTGCTGCAGATTTATATAGCTCATTGGAAAAATATTTTTCTGAAATTAGAAATCTAGATAATGCTAAATTATTTGAGGAATATGAAAGAAGGGCCATAGAATTGTTCGGTGAGAAAGAATATGCGGCAGATAAAAAGAGAAAAGTGAAACGGAAACGACAATTTGATGAAACCAGTGATAATGAAACTCTATTTAACGCTAGGGACGATTTTAGGATAAATGATAAATCTTTTTTTTTAATGTTTTAAATGGGAGTTTTTTTTTAAATTTAATGTTATTATTGATAAATTGTAGGCACTTTTTGATTATCTACTTTATTTTATCTACTTATTTATTACATACTACTTATTATATTCTACTTATTTATCTACTCTTGATATATCTACTTTAAGTATTGACGACATTACCGATAAGTCCAGACATTTAATAATTTGTTATCCAAATGATTTATATGAGTCAATGCCTAATGAATTAATACATTTTCGTGAATTTATAAAATGCATTAAGTCAGCAAAACCATCTGCTAGAGAGCTTCTTAAAGTAATTTATGAAAAAAACGCTCAAGACCTGTTTCCAAATATTTTCATAGCATTAAGAATCTTCACATGTACTTTTATTACTAACTGTTCTGCTGTACGTTCGTTTTCTGCATTGAAACGTATTAAAACTTATTTACGGTTCACTATGGAAACAGAACGTCTAAATCATTTGGCAGTTTTACATATTGAGTTCGACCTTTTAAAAACTATCAATTACGATGAAGTAATTGATAATTTTGCGAACAAAAAAGTACGTAGGAAACCTTTATAGGCATATAAGCAAACCTTATAGTTTTTTTGTACGTTTGTTGTCATTTTATATGAATATTTTAATATTTATTTTATGTTCTGTGTTGATCTGTTCTGTCGGTCTATTCTGTTGTTGGTCCTGTATTCAAATAAATGTTTTTTCTATCCGTAATTTTTTTAATTAAAAAAAAATGTTAAGGGGCGGCATTTTTTTTGGCCTGGGTTGGCAACTTCGTCCGGCCCTGCTCGTACTATTAGTTCAAAAATTATTTGGAAAAAATCGAAATAAAAATTAATTTTCTACACCCTGTATCTCTGAAACTAAGCATTTTAGGACAAACATTTATACGAACTTTTTCACTTATTTTTCTCTGCAGCATATGCTGCCGAAATTTCCGGAATACAATTCGGACTATCCTGTATTATGATATTGTGAAAAAATGTATTTTTTTAACAAAGTTTTTTTTATGACAATGCATAGATTACTTGCCAAAAGGATGGTCCTTTGACGTCACTAGCCGTGTGGTTCGATTTGGATTTGGATGAAGAGATAACGATAACGACGGATCCTCGCAATGAGAACCGCGTCAAATGCTGGGAACAGGCTGTCTTTCATCTAGTCCATCCCATCGACGTTGTTGCAGGGGAAGTGATACAGTTCGAAGTTACCGTTTTGGATAGTCAACTAAAATTCTATCAGGTGCGATAGATTTAGTAACAATATTGTACAGGGTGGGTCAAATTCGACGCTTTTAAATGGAAACACCCTTTTCTATAGGAGATAGACGAAAACTAATATCGGTGTCTGGAGCTCAATTTTCATCAAAAACATGATGGTGAAAACCGCAAATCAATATCTGTTACCGTTTCGGAGTTATGGGGTGTTTTTCAAAAATATGCATTTTTAACAAATCGCTGTAACATTTTTGCTATGGAAAATTTTGTATTTTTATGAAAACATTTCCAAAGCACCTTTTTACGTAGAATTTAATGGTTTAAGTATATTTTTTTTTAAATTAATAATTTAAGAATTATCAACAGAAAATTTGATTTTTTATATGGGACACCCTGTATATTTTTAATTTATTGAAAAGGATTTAAAATTACCTTTTCAAAAATGTAACATACTTGATATTTTGCTCGATTTCTCTTCGAGATATAGAGTATATAAAAATTCGCCCGCTTTAAATAAGTAGGCTTTGAACGGTACCGGCTGTAATGCAAAAAAATTCTAGCTGTGAGCATCAATTAAAACGAAAATAATATTTGCTATGAGAGATGCAGAATGTTATAACAATTTAAAATATATTTAACCAACATCAACACATTTAAACTATATCTAATAACAATAAAAATAAATAGCAAACCAAGACTTGCAACCTAGATTTTGCTACAGGTGTTCGACATATCGACTGTTATCTGTTATGGACAGACGGGGCAGTTTTTGAACATTTCTCGCGGAATTCATTAACTCAGTGGGGGTGAAAGATACCCTTTAATAACTGCTATTTTTAATTCTTGTCTAGATTATACGGAAGAATAAGGAACCTTTTTTCGCAAATATATCCATAGGATTAGATCCATGGGCTCTAAGTCAAACGGCCTCGACGGCCAACGGTTGGGATCTTGGTTAGCTATCCAGTTATTCTTGAAATTGGCTGCAAAAATTTGCTAATAACTTCGTTCAGAGGCGGTGCGTCGTCTTGCTGGAAAAATATGTTTTCGAGTTCCATTAAGGGCATATCATCAATAAGGGGTCCAAAGCCTACTAGTTAAAAGTGGCGAACTTTTAAATATTCTGTATTTCGAAGGGGATTATAACAAAATATCAAGTGTGCTATATTTTTGGATAGGTAATTTTAAATTCTTTTCACTTAATTAAAAATATAGAGGGTGTCCCAAAGAAAAAATCAATTTTTCTGTTGATAACTCTCAAATTATTAATTTTAAAAAAATTAAACTTAAATCATTAAATTCTACGTAAAAAGATGCTTTGGAAATGTTTTCATAGAAATACAAAATTTTCCATAGCAAAAAAGTTATTTACAGCGATTTGTTAAAAATGCACATTTTTGAAAAACACCCCGTAACTCCGAAACGGTAACAGATATTGATGTGCGGTTTTCCCCATCATGTTTTTGATGAAAATTGAGCTCCAGACACCGATATTAGTTTTCGTCTATCTCCTATAGAAAAGGTTCTTTCCATTTAAAAGCGTCGAATTTGACCCACCCTGTACACTCAGGTGCAAAAAAAGGCAACAGAGAAATTTTTGTTCAAATTTAAAGTGTTATTTTTTTCTTATTTTTAGCCCTAGCGACAGAAACCGTCCGCTCTTTTGACGTGTTTGACAGATAGACTACGTATTTAACTGCTCAACTTTATAAAGTTTTATACATATTTTTTTTGTTTTGTTTTATCCTTATTTCTAAATTTGAATGAAAAAAAAAATGATTCGTTGCCTGAGGCATACTTGAAATAAAGTATATAGAGATATTTGATAAATGGCAACAGTGGCAACTTCGCTTCTTCATATGACAGATAACCTACTTATTTCGCGCAGCCGCAAAGAAAATCGAAAATGGGACTGTCGCTACTCGTCGGTTTACTTACTCTGATAGTAGTATATGGTTCACAATAATCACCAAAGCCGTCTTGTCGCATAATTGACTGATTGAAAAATAACTTCAAAAATAAATGATAATTAAAAAAGTTGCAAATTGTTGGTGGGCAGCTCATTTCGCTCTTAAAAATTAACCAAGGCATGTATTGACATGATCCAAACATCAAAATTCTCAGGAGACACGGTTCTGACCTTTAAAATTATATTTCAGGAAAATTTACACACGAAAATTAGTGCACAGGGTGTTTTAAAGTAGGATAAAAAAGCAACACCTCGATTAACCCTGTATAATATCCCAAATACTAAACTTTATAAAAAACAGAGTTTACGAATAAAAGGTGATATATTTATACATAGTTTGCTAAAAAATTCATGAAAAAAAAGTAACAAAAATATAACACTTTAAATTTGATCAAAAATCTCTCTGTTGCATTTTTTTTATCATCTGAGTGTATTATTGAAAAAAAAACAGCGTCACAATGACCTTTGATAGTGATGGGCGATATTGTCGCGATCCTGTTTTGTAGGGTTGTGGCTAGGGATGTTTAGGTAGGGTCAAGTGGTTTAAAAATTAGATAATTTTCAAAACTTTTAGACTTTTTCTTAGTTACAAAAGTATTTCTTCTATAAAAGGCATAGGGTTGTAAGCAGCGGCGAAGCTTCCATTGATGCGGGTGATGCCTCGCATCTCTTCAAAATATTGTAATACGTTAACATTCTAAGTTAATTTATTCAAATAATTAAATTTAATTTCAATTATTTAAAGTGTGTATTGGTCGAGCTTTATAGATAACGCTAAGACCAACACGAAACGGTAAAAACAAAAATATCTCGACAGCGCCCTCTCTTAGACTCAAGTGGAAATAGATTAGATCTTGTAAAGAATTTACTTAAAGCGTCGTTCTCAGAACATCGGTATTGTCGAGCGACACGTCAAAAGAACCAATGAAATTTGCTCAATATTCAAAATTGACAGCTGTTTGAATTTTGTACAAATCTGATTGGTTCTTTAGACGTGTCGCTATTCTGAGAACGGGGCTATTACGCTTAGAGGTATGTAGTTCGTGAACGAACTAGTTCCAATGAACTATTCCGACCCCGGAATGAAAGGAACTAGTTCCTCAGGACCTATTCCCGGATCGAGACTGTGACCGGTATAGAATAATATGCGATGGCGACGGATCGTAGCGCGTGTAGCCGAATGGTAGGCAGGAGTGGGGAGTGCCAGCCGTATGCCGTATATTATCGGATCCTGACCTAAAGAACTAGAGGAACTAAATAAAAGACTAGTTTACGTATGGATCAGCCAGCGCGATTGATGCTAGGCAGGCGTGGGGAGTGCCAGTCGTATGTTATCGGATCCGGACATAAAGGAACTAGAGGAACTAAATAAAAGACTAGTTTACGTATGGATCAGCCAGCGCGATTGATGCTAGGTAGGCGTGGGGAGTGCCAGTCGTATGTTATCGGATCCGGACATAGAGGAACTATTAAAAGACTAGTTCACGGGAATCTATTCAGTCGGCAGATCCGAGATATAATACAAGGCGACGGCGACGGATTCGGCCTTGTCTATTGCCACAGCCGGCGCGGCGTAATTAGCACAGAAAATTATCGTGGATACTGTTTTTTTAGTTTGTTTTTAAATATTTTATGGGAATGTTTTAATTTAGGTCCCTGAAATTTTAGAAAATCTTATAAAACGAAGTAGATATTCTGAATTTTTAGACAAAAACAAAAAGCTTGTAGTGAGCAAAAATGCAATTTTTCGTAAAATTTTTGTAATATTTGCTCCAATTGATTTCTGATATAGTTTTTTAAATTCTGATTTGAGTTTTTTTTATTTTTTTTATCTGCAATGAACTTACCTATATGTTTTTAACATACACAATTACACGTCTCGTTATATCTCCTCCTCCCCCGTACATTATAAAAATTATACATATCATACTGTGAATAGTTCTGACTGACAACAAAACGCATTAGCAAGCAAGGGGGATGTCAATGTTAGCCGGGAACTATTGTGAACTAAAGACCTAGTTCAAAGAACTATTCCTCTGGAGGAACTAGAACTAAGGAACTAGTTCCTCCCAAGGAACTAGAATTCCCACCTCTAATTATGCTGTACTTTCGGGTCGCTCTCATGTGTCTTGTAAAGCGGGTATGTGACCGAAGGAAATTTATATTATATGTCAGAAATCTGCCTAAGGTTTAGCCCGATCCTGTCGTGTTAAGCCACACCCAAAATTCCGAACACACGTGCACGTGATTAAGGCTTGATTAAGGTTCGCAGAGTTTCAGCATTTGCCATAAAATAGCGAGCAATTTGTTACAAAACCATATGAATTATATATCACTGTAATCACAAAACTTCAGTCTATTTCCGTATTGTATCGGAATTTTAAATTATGTTTTTATTTTCGAGAAAATTTAGTTCAAACATAAGGAATATTTTCTCTATGTTTAACCATCAAAATCTTAAAAAAAAGAAGTTGTCTAAAAATGTGCTACAATACGGATATAGTATAATCATTTATCTTTAATTTCCTTCTTCATTTGTGTAAAAATACCTAGCTCGGCTTTTTATCGAGTAGGTCACATTAAAATCGGATTTCAATTTATTTCATTCTAGGATCGCTTGCGTTCGTCGCTTGGTACTCGTCACTTGCGTCACTCGTTCATAATCGAGCGATGTCGGTTATTTCAATAATCGAGTACTCGAGCGAATTTTCGCTCGAGTTATCCCATCACTAGTAGTTACGTAGTTCTCTTTTTTGTTTTTTGTTCACACACAATGCTTTAGTTGATGCGTTTTGACTGAATAGAATGCAATGTAAAACGTTATGTATAAATAGAAAATGTTTAGTGTGGTCTGACAAAAATTATCGATGGTTATCGTTTCAAAGGCTACTGTGACGCTATTTTTTCGATTGTATAGCATATAATAGTGTATGTAATTGTTTGATTTTTTTTTGAAGATAACCAAGCCAAATACTTGCGTAGCCTGTTGGCTGGTCTCTAAAGAAATTATAACTTTTTTAAACGACGTACCATTAATCAACGAAGTTTTGACGTTGACAGGCGTATTAAGTCATCCTGATTTTGTACGAGTTAGATCTGGTAAATCCCATAAACCGGTAAGTATTATACAGTACGTCCCCGGATTGTCTTTACAAGAGGAAACGTTTTTTTATTAACTTTTAAGAAAAATATATTCTATATAAAAATTTTGCTCGTTGTAAAATGGTTAATCCCGTTTATATTTTTCCAAATTTCCATATCGTTTTAGAGCAAAATACAATAACATGAAAATATACAGGGTGTCCCAGGCTGAGCGTGCATTAGAAGTTTCTAGAGAACCACATTATCTAGATCGGAGATTTTTTGCACATCATTGTTTTACAACGAGATCTATCCATTAAAAATATTTTCAATATGGCGGCACTTCCGGAAATACCGGAAGTTGACTACAACTTTCTTATTTTAAATAACCGCCCCTATTTTTTATTACATACTTAAATTCTCTGTAAAATTCTATGTATATTGATGTTAAACACTCTATATCTAACATTAACCGTTTTTGATAAAAAAAATATTTAAAATTTTTGGACGAGAGAAACTACCTGTCAAAAAAAATTGTATAGCCTAAAAGTCAAATTTAGTGATTGCTACAGCTACTGTGATATAAAGAGAAGACATGTAGTTATCGATTTCAAATATTAAATTTTTCAAATGTCATATGATAATGGCTGTAGCTGTCATGGAATTGAGCGATTAAAAAGTTATCATAAATCATTTTTTTCAAATGGAAACCCACTTTTTTATTTTACTAGTGAAAAGATTAGACAATTCGTTACTTTTTAACTATACCTACATGTTCCTATACCAAAAATAAATCGTTTTTGAGTTATTTAAGATTTAGTTTGAAAACATATATTTTTCTTGATTTTATCTATCTTCCTTTGACATTTGTCAAAAAGTCAGACAATTTATTTCCATCTGTCAGAAAACAAATTATTTGAATTTCCTATATTGTAAATACTGTTACCTTAAAAGTGTATTTATAAAAATATATCTCGTATTTTCGCTCCTTAGTGATATCTAATAGTTGATATTAATTATATTAATAATATACTGTATCAACACTGAAAAAAAACAACGCAAAGTTGGCTTGCAAATGATGATCGATAACATACTGATACATACTGCTTTTTGAACAAAGTGTCACAATATGACATGGTCAGATCTGTTGTTTTACATCACTTGACGTTTAAAGTCATAGGCTACTAGTTAAAATCAAAAAAATATAAGCTTTAAAACTAAATTTTAAATAACTTAAAAACGATTTATTTTAGGTATAGGAACATGTAAAGTCAAAAAGTAACGAATTGAAAAGCCTTTTCATTGGTGAAATAAAAAAAGTAGGTTTTCATTTGAAAAAAACGATTTATGATAATTTTTTAATCGCTCAATTCTATGACAGCTGCGGTCATTATTATATGACATTCGAACAATTTAATTTTTGAAATAGATAGCTACATATTTTCTCTTTATGGCACAGTGGCTGTGGTAATCACTAAATTTGACGTTTAGGCTGTACACATATTCTTGACAGGCAGTTTTTTTCGTTCAAAAATTTTAAATATTTTTTTTCTCAAAAACGGTTAATGTTAGATATAGAGTGTTTAATATCAAAATTCATAAAATTTTACAGAAAATTTAAGTACATACATAATAAAAAATGGGGGCACCCATTTAAATTAAGGAAGTTGCCGCCATATTGAAAATATTTTTAATCGGTAGATCTCGTTGTGAAACTATGATGTGCAAAAAATCTCCGAGCAGATGTTGTAGTTCTCTAGAAACATCTAATGCACGCTCAGCCTGGGATACCCTGTATACATATAATTTAATTGTTTTCCTAAAAATTTTTGAATAAGAAGACTAAGGAAGGAGCATAATGCTATCCATGTATTCATGCATGGTGGGCGGAAAAAGCACTCTAGGGTGGGGATCCTTGACAGTTCTGTTTGACGATTCATTTGACACATTTGAATTTGATTTGAAATTTTGTGGATTTGTCAGTCTTTACGGAGCTTATTTTATGCTATTTATTATTTATTCTACTACTGATAGTTGTATAAAGGTAGTAAATCTAGATGGAAATTGTGGCAGCACTTAAATTAACAGTGACACTATCGCGATTTATTGAAAAAGACTCTAAAATAGTTGGTTGTGTAGCGTGCGGTAGATCTCGGCAAAAATTGAGTGAAATAATGGAACAACTTTTCGCTAGTAAGTGACTATATAATATACATACGTGTAGTAAACCGATCATTTATGAAATTCACTTAAATTAACTAAATTATATATTTTTCTTGCACTTTAGCTTTTATTTATTACTTGTCAAAGATTAGATGTCAAAGAATTTGGATACGTTAATTTGACTTACCTGCTTCAGTAGCGTATCGGATGTTTGTGGTAATAAATACTTATTATAACTTATCTATTTTTATTACTACTATATATTTTTATAACAATTTTAATAACTACCAACATTTATTCACAACGTAAAATAAAACAACAAATTATTGAATCTACCCCACGTCTACCCTACATCATAGTTTTACATTTTTTAAATAAAATTAGAACGACACTGATAAACCGGAATTTAAGTCGGCCATATTTGAGGCCCATCGCGGTGTACCTAAAATTTTTGATATGCTCCTTCCTTAGTCTTCTTATTCAAAGCTAAAAATCAAAATGCGTTTCTGTAGTAATACCCATTATGTACTTTACGATTTGCGCTTTAAATTTTGAATGGAACTTTAAGCTAAATCCTAGATTGTAATTTGTAATATTTGTTTCATGAGTCTAAATATTTTCAGATAATGGATTTGATGTGTTTTCCTTTGTTGGGTTTCCTATTAGCTATCAAACTAGGTTCGCAATTTTACACTACTATTAAGTCTGATAGTGATTTTCAGTATATGGACTTTTTCGACCATATTCTACGAGTCAATAACATTCCACAGGGTAAAATGATAGTTGTTGGTGAGTTATTTATCGCGTTTAATTTTCGTATTCACATCCAGAATTTGTATGTGATTGTGAATACAGTATGATCGAAAAAACGGCTTTAAATTACCTTAGGAATAATGATCAATGTAAAAAATTATACAATTTGTGTGTAAAATTATAAGCTGTTTTTTATTAGATCATACTGTATATCACAATGGTCATTTTATTTCCGTGATCTGAATTTTAGTGCATATGACAGAGATAAATATATACGATCAGTTGAGACAGACAGAGAGACAAAATAAAAAGCTGCATACAGCGTTGCCGGTTCATATGTGAAATAGTATGATAAATGATAATATACAGTTCAAACCAAATAAACTTTTAGTTTCAACAAACTTTTAACTTTTTATATCAACAAAACTCACCTCCGCTCCTCAAGTTGCGATGAGTTTTTTACGGCTATTAATCTATCTTGTACACTTCGCACTAAAATAGGTTCTAAAAAGAACAATTTTTGACTGCGAGGTCTGCTAGTAAACATTTTTAAGCTTAAAGTATTACAACACTATTTATTAAAACCAGAAACTCGTAATACAAAACTAAAGTGTCAAAACGAATGACAATATCAGGAAATAAATAAATAAATGTGGCAACTTGACATTTTTTGCAGCAGAGCTACCACCTGAATCCCCAGCGCGAAATTTAAATTCCAGTTAGTTAGTAAATTCCAGTGGTTGGCAACAATGAATTTAAAAATCGCGCCCTCGATTACGTAACTAAAAGATACTTAACTTAATATTATATTTAAGCTATTTAATAATGCTTAATTATGTTGCTTTAAAAGTTGGAATAAAATATCTCCATTCACTCTTTACAATTGCCATAGAAATAAATATTCATTGGCTTGTTATAATACCGTGCTGGCGAGTGTTACTTCTGGGTCGGTATTTGCACAGTGTGGAAGTAAATCGCATAAGGATCTTGTCGGAGTGAGAGAAACGCGACGGTGTGCTGTTGCGGCGTTGTCGGTACGCCTTTCCCGATCAAATAAAGTAAAATTACGATCGCAAACCGCTTATACGGCTTTTTTTTTCAAAAAGATAACTAGATAAAATCATTAGATATGTTTCTGAGCATCTGGGCCCGTATTCTGTAACTTTGAAACCGCTAAGCGCTTTTAGACGCTCAGCGTATATGACGTTAATTTTCGCTGAGCGCGCACTTAATTAACGATTTCGGTATTCTCGTCTGATACGCTTAGCGTCTTTCCTAATTGCGCTGAGCGCTTTGAAAACGGTTGCCTTAAAGGATCGTTTTGCTTGTCGAACTGTCAGTGAAAATCGAAAAAATTGTGATTTTGTGCGTTATCTTGCTCTTCAGTGAAAATTACTACTTCTTCTATAAATTCCTCAATAAGTAATTGATAATTTACGACTTGGTAGCTATAAATATTGTTCAAAACATCGAAAATGCTGATAAGCGACTTCAACACTTCCCTCGTATAATAAGAATAATGACATATCCATAGAAAAATTGCTTGACATAACTCAAATATGTTATGAAATTCACGTAACATTGACATTTTTCATTGTTACATCCGTCAGTTATCAACTTTTGACTATTACCTACATTAGAAATTGTGATGTTGCCAATATGTGCTCAACGCGTATCCAGAACACGATTCGCATGGCAACGAGAATACCAAAATCGACTGCCTTGCGTTTCGCTAATCGAATACTTGCGCTCGCCGCTTTGAAAGCGTAACGTTTTTATGTCAAAGTTACAGAATGCGGGCCCTGAAATGGAATTATAAGGATATCGTTAGGGTGTCCATTATTTTATAACGATAAAACGTCAGTAATCGTGATAATTTAAAAACTCAACTTTTTAACACATAACACGCCATAACTTAAGAATCACTTTAGATATTGAAACTTTTTTTATTGATACTTTTTTTATACTCTTTTATTAGATCGGATCTTTTACAATATGTTTAAAAAAGATAAATTCGATAAGGTTGTTTTTTCCATTCAAAAATTTTAGACAACCCATTAGCAATTTTCAGCAATCGTGCAACTTTTTTATTTATAAAGATTTTCACAAACTGTCTGCGAAGAGAATATAGCAGAAATGTTAAGAAAGTTTTTGAAACAACTACAATCAATTATGTTTAATATATTTCGAGATATCGATTTTTGAATTCAGAGTTCTAATAGCGCGACCACTGTCGAACACCAACTCAATTCCACTTATTTTTACCAAAAATGCAAGTGTTTCTAACTTCCACTTAAATTTTTTCAAGCTATAGGGAAAATTACAACGACTCGTTAATAAATAAACAAATAAGGTATCGCGAGACGTAATTAAATCGTGATGTACATGTTCTCTAGAACTTTAAGTACTGACAGAGGTACTGATTGGATCGACCGGTCAACTGCGACAAATCTGCTATATCCCCTTCCACGTCTCTTAGCAATGTGCACAGTTTCTCGATTCATTTCAACGTTTGGCGACGTGTTTACTGTTCTCTCTTTGTTCAGTACATTATAAACGCATTGTACTCTTCTTACATACGGAAATTTCGACCCAAGACTAACCTTTGCCAGCCCTTAGTATAACTATGATTGTTTGTTTTTGCAGTTTCGCCAGCGACACATCGTATTTCTGAGACCGAGACTTAATAAGAATCCATTATAGCTGTAGTAAAATGAGTATCTAATTGGAGAAATTAAAGATCCAACCATAGATGCAGCTTTTTCGTAAACGTCGACTTGGGCGGTAGAAGAAATGTATAAACGAACTTTTTTCTCTTTCTAATACATTTGATTTTTCATTAAGCTGTAGCCATCACTGTCTTACACGTTAAATTTCAGACCACACTCTATGGTGAACAAACCAGAAGAAATAGGAAATTTTATTAGTTATCCAAAAAAAGTTTATTGGGATCGTTTTACCATGTCGATTTAAGAGTAAAGAAATAATTTTGACTAATGGGTAGATAACATATACGATCGAACAAAAAACGGTCTCAGAATTGTTTTGGAAATAAAGATCGTTTTCATTTTATATGTAAAATTATAGACGATTATCATTGATCGCCATTTCTAAGCCAATTTGACGTAGTTTTTTTCTATAATATGGTATTTATTTCATGTGTCTATAATCGTGATGACGACACGGAGTATTATAGCTAATTAAATTTTTACAAATTGTAAGCTTTGTGTTCGTTGAAGGACTATTAGAGCTACAATTTAAAAATATTTTTACAAGGTACAGAGTGTCCCAAATAAATTAAAAATTACAAAGTATTTTTTAAATGGAACACCCTGTATATTAATAAATTTTTAGTTTCTACGATTAAAATAAAGGTTGTAGAAAAATCTAACGTTTAGCTAGAATACTCCGTGTCGTATGTTTAACCCAATTTTTTACATGTGACACCTTCAATTTTGACATTTTCACATGACATATGTTAAAATGACCTTATTTGTTATTGGACATGTTGAATCAATTCCCCATATATTTTTTTACAATAAACTCTATCAATAATTTTCAATAATTAACAGAAACTTTCCAGTTTTTTCTGAACTACTTGACACAAACTGTATATAGTCTGTCTTGACAGTTGGGTCTCTCATTTTAGTTCACACGTAAATAATATTTTCTGTCAATTTTTAATTGTCGTTTGTCGAAATCTTCCCTGATCGGTTGGATTGACTTTAACTTGTTATTATTCTTATTGGTCATTATTTAGAAAACAAAATGGGCCATAATTCAACGATGTGCGGTCTTCACAAATATTTAAAAGAATGCTGGGCGTGCGTACTAGAACCAATGAGTACCGATGGATCACTACATCCGACGATAGGTTTGAAGGTAATTTTCTACCCTAAAATTAATAAAAAAACACATTGTTGACTAAGACAGCTACAGACAACGTTGATTCAACGTTATGTCATCATTATCTAATATTCGTTTTAGTGTGTGTCTGAGATGTTTTTATTATCTCGAAAATTTCAAGTACGTTCTCAAATTAGTAATTGGGTGCGTTCCTAGATTATTATTATTTCAAGTGGGTATTTTTGCCTTTATTAATTTTGGTTGTATGTCTAAAAACAATTAAGATTAATAGAATATCTAGCAACAGCTTGGCGGTATTCAGGGGTATCCATGTAGAATGTAGAATGAGTAAGAGGGGGGGGGGTTAATCACTGCGACCTTAAAGATCTATTGTGTCCCCCTTCCTTGCAGGGCCTATTTTTCATCTAGTCGGGCCCTAAGACCCAAGCAAAAATTCGGGCCCTCTTTTCCAATAAAATTCAAAAATTCTTTTGTTAGTTTGGGTTAAAAAAATAAAACGTTATTTTTAGATTGGGGAATCGCCGGTGCCGGTATCTTTGATATAAATTTATAAATAATTTTAAAAAATGCATTAATTATATCAATCTAAAGCTTATTTTATTTAATTCTATTTTCCTTATCAGAGGTAACTGTTTTTTTTTCTCTGCTGTGTCAATTTACATTTGAAATTATGAATATTTTACAACCTTTAACGGGCCCCCCAGACTACCGGGCCTTATGGTAAAATAGGCCCTGTTTCCTTGAGTCATCACACAATCTATGAGGATCATGCCCACCCGAAAGTGTATCCCCGCAAAACGCAGCTGATCCACATTTTGTAGATCATTGTGTTGCGATCCGATCTCCACTACTTCGTCCAGTATAGCCTCTTCTAGAGACGTTTGCTGGTCGGTGGTCAGAGCAACCTCTGGAAAATCCTTTGGCAGCACCGCCATTTTCACTTGTCCAGCAATAGCGGCAAAGCTGGTGATACGTTCCTGCTTGCCTCCCGGTGTTGGACGGCTTTCCATCCTGGCTCTCCCTGCCGGAGAAGAGGTGAGAGGTTCTCGCTCCCTCTCTTGCCCTTTGATGGAGATGAGTCAGGTTGTTTCTTGGTTTCTTTACTCTCCCCTTTTCGGAGGAGTGCTTTCGCTTTTGCTTCCTCTGGAGCAAGTTCTTCGTGGAGCAGTCGGAGGTATCTCCGTGCTTCTGCTCCGCTAAGACCTACTCTTAGAGGATCGTCTAGCCCGCCTGGTTGACCCAGGCCGGGTAGACGAAACGGTAGCTTATGTCGCTTATTGAGTCTAGTGGTGGGCTCCCGACCCTTGCTGGAGAAGGTGGTAGCTTGTGTGCCACTTGTGGAGGATGATCCCAAGCAAGTGTCAGCCGCCCCTCCTGTAGTTTCCTTTGGATTTGGTCCCTTGGAACTTTCATTTGTAATGTTTCCAGTGTCGCTAGGCTTCCCCATAGCTTTAAAAATGTAGCTCACTCAATTAATAATTTAGGAACGTACTTAAAATTTTCTAAACAATATGAACTGATCTCAGACACACCCTTAAACGCAAACTTGACAAATGATGATGACGTAACTTTGAACGATCGCTGAACAGTCGTTACTTTATTTTTTATTGTTTTTAAGGAAAAAGTTAGAACCGAACATCCAGAGATTATAATGTTTCCGTTAATAGTTGTCGTCAAAGTTGTACTAATTTATTCGGAGAAGCTGGAGACATGGAACTTTGTTCGAGACAGTAACGTTTTCGACTATAAAATAGCTCAATTTATGAACGAATATTCGGTAAGTAATAAAATAATGATAGTGAAATTCACCCAATATGGTGAAGTAATATACAGGGTGGTCCGAACTGTATTTCGGAAACTTCGGCAGCGTATTCTGCAGATAATAATAGGTAAAATAGTTCGTATAAATGTATGTCCTATAACGCTTAGTTTCGTATATACAGGGTGTAGAAATTTCATTTTTATTTCGATTTTTTCCAAATAATTTCTGAAGTAACGTCAATATTTGGATGAAAATTGGTGTCTGGGAGTTTTTTGACATGAGAAATTTGATTTTGATGTCAATATGACTCTTACTTGTAGAGGGCGCCACCTACATATTTTTTAACTGGCTTGAAGAGTAATATCTTTTTGTCCGAAGCTGTATAAAACTACTGAGTAAAAAATATACATTTACGACGTTTTTTACGTAAAAAAGATCTCTTGGTAAAAATTTCTACGAGTAAAGCTTGATTTTCATGCATCCGTTATCCGACGATACGATGATACAATATTCATTTTATTGGTTGAATTTAAAGACCTCGATTGGTTAGAAATTCCGATCTCTCGCTGTATCTCCGAAACTAAGCATTTTAGGACATACATTTATACGAACTTTTTTGCCTTATTTTTATCTGCAGAATATGCCGCTGAAGTTTCCGGAATACAGTTCGGACCACCCTGTATATTACTTGACTATATTGGGGTTCACAGAGAAAAAAAAATAACTTTAAGCTTAGGTCCTATAAACTTCGTGGTTAAAGCCAAAGACACTTGTGTGTTATGTATACTTATACAGTAATCGCAAAACAATTTCCGATGCACGTGATCAACTTTGAGTGACAAGCGATGTCGACAGCGCTGCCAAATTGTGATGGATTTATGAGATGAATCTTAATTTAAAATTGACAAATAGTATATTTATTACATCATTTTTTAAAGATTTTTACGTTTTATTTTTAATTTAATACCTAATATTTTAGTAATTAATTGATTTTATTTGTTTTATATTACATTATGAAGATTATTCTAAGCGTTATTATGGGTTATTTATTTATTTATTCATGTACAATCTTACAACGCCATAAGTGGTAATAACAAATAAGAGGGTGCTATTAATGCATAAACTAATCATCACAGAATTTAATAAAAACTAAGGTAGAAATAACTTTAAGTGGGGTATAATGTGCTTATCAATCAAACTTACTTCCCTGACTGAACATCTTGTAACCAATATAGCAATAATAAAAATCGGTTCAAACTAATTTTTGCAGCTGTAATCTAAATAAAATATCTGTTACAATCATTTGCCCTATAAAGTATAATGAAGAGCTGCTCGGTATTTTAAATTGTTCAACAAATTTAAACATTTTTGACAAAATTTCATTTAGTCAGGGTTATAGACTTTAGTGTCAATGTCGATATGATTGATAACCTGTATTGGAAAATGTTTTGCGTTTACCGTATATGTATGCTTATATAATTACTATTTTTTTAGGGATGTGAACATCCAAATTTAGAAAATTTCGCCTATAAGGAATATTCTAATCCCATATCTTTCTCCGTCGACGATAAAGATTATGTAAGAAAGACTCAGAACATACAAGTTACCGAAAGTGGGCATATTAACGGACTCTACACGTGGTACGAGATGAGATATCAGAAGCATATCGAGTATTCAACGAAAGGTAAGAGCGATCTAGATTGTATAGGAGGGGAGAAGTTAATTATCGCGACCTTATACTTATAGATGTCCATAAACTAATGTCGATTTTGAAAATTGTTACTGTCACTAGAAAATTGCCATGGCGATACCAGCCATCTTGATTGTCATTTTATTTAAAAATCGCTTTTTATTCAAAATCTGAGATAGATAGGTATAGGAAACCGTAATATAGTTTGAAAGAGCATTTGAATCTGCTTCGACTTATTTAAAAAAATACAGGGTGTTGCATTTGAAATAACAAAGTTTTTATGTAAAATAAATCTTTAAAATAGATCACCAATTTTTGGTACCCCTGTATAAATTTAAGAAAGCAATAACATTTTTCAGTAAGTTTATTTCTTCACCTTTAAACTCAGCACAAGAATTAATTCTGAAAAGTAATGTACAGGGTGTTAATAATCAATTCTTTTGTAGCATTCATAATTAAATATCTTTAAATATCTCAAAAACCAAAGACTTTAAACATATTTAATCCTTATAATAAATGCAAGAATCCAAAAATGAATTAAAATACCGGGTGTTCCATAAGAAAAAATATAACTTTGGTATGGTTCTTAGTTCTGAAACACCCTGTATATTTCAAAATAATTTTAAATTGTGCATATTTCCTCCCCACATATACCCATAAAATATTTTGTTTCTACATCTTTCCGTTTTCGTATAATCAACCGAGGCGAATGAGGTGCGCCACCCTGTATAGTCTGTTGTACAAACGGGTTGTTTACAGTTTGTTTTTGTGTGTTGTGTCAAAACAAATCAATGCAAATTAGTTAGTCTTTTATTATACATATCTATGTTTTGTACTAATAAACTAAAATTGGAATGGTTTCATATACCGTACGATCGAAATTAGAACGTCAAGAATGGCTGGGGCATGACTATCGATAATAATTTGGTGAGGTCAATCTCTAGACGTCATTTGCTAAAAATTGATATAAAACTTGTCAAAAATAACACTAATTATAGAAAGATAGAACATTTCCCAACACACAAATCTATTCCCCAAAAAAAATAATTACATTTTTTTCGAATTTTAATATACATCGTTTAAAAATCATTTTTACTCAATAATATAAAAATAAATTACATCCTTCTTAAATCAACTGGCAGTAAGCGCCATTAAAGAATAAAGAAGAGTACGGGCCAAATAGTGACGTCTAGGGTTGACCTGGCCAAATTGTCATTGATCGTCACTCACCAGCCATCTTTGACGCCGTTTTTTTTGGTCATATGGTACATATCTATGTTTTTGTTTCCTTTTTGAAGTGAAACTTCTTTACGCACGTTGGGAGTAAAAATTCATGGCCGTGACATTGAATGACGGCCGTGACGCACGAGCTAGCGAGAGAAAAAGTGGTAACGGCAGTATTGCTACAGCCACACCTTTATAAAACAATTTAACCCCGCTATCTCGTCATAATCTGCCCCGATGAAAAATAAGCTTGTGGCAACACTGGGTAACGATCTTTTTCATACTCGGTAAAGAAAATCACTATAATAAACTCGATATTGAACCATGATACAAAGAAAACATGGTATGATCGATAGCGGGTCCAATTTCGTTCAGTTTGCGCATATCACCTGTGACGTCACTACGCCATACAAAAATCCATATTGTTCCATTGCCACTAACAAAAACAGAACTCGAAATAGAGAAGAATTGGGACAGAACCTCAAATGTTATGTCAAATTAATGAGCTTGACACTTAGACAAGGAAAGAGAGGCTTGCCATTTGAAATGTAATTTTCATATTTATTATGTGTCATCCTTTGAATAAGAAGACTAAGGAAGGAGCATAATGCTATCCATGTATTCATGCATGGTGGGCGGAAAAGCCACCATAAAAGCTCTCTAGGGTGGGGATCCTTGACAGTTCTGTTTGACGATTCATTTGACACATTTGAATTTGATTTGAAATTTTGTGGATTTGTCAGTCTTTACGGAGCTTATTTTATGTTATTTATTATTTATTCTACTACTGATAGTTGTATAAAGGTAGTAAATCTAAGGAATTTAAGTCGACCATATTTGAGGCCCATCGCGGTGTACCTAAGATTTTTGATATGCTCCTTCCTTAGTCTTCTTATTCAAAGGTGTCATCAGTTTGACGATTTGAAATTGGCGCGCGGAGATTGCCGACCAAAGGTAACCGTTATCACCTGTGACGTAGTGACCAACCTGCGCAATATCATACCTTGTTTTCTTTGCATCATGATACTGTACCAACCTTGATGTGTACACGGAGGAAGGAAATTTTCATGTATATTTTCATCGATAGGTTTGTAGCTTCTGAATAACGGTACCTAGACCGTTACCTAACGCATCTAGCTCATTTGCCGGCTCAGATTAGAATTTAGAGTTAGTAACGCGTATTGTCATTGTAGGACACTGTCATATTTATTTCAAGTCAATAATCAATGAGAATATTCGTATAATTTAATAAAATTACTGTAAATCACTATAAATAATTAAACAAAACATTTAAACAAAAACAAACCAGAGACCACACAAAACAAATTGTTGGTTAGTAGTAGCACAGATTATACAGATTATAAACTTTGTTTTTTCTTTATTGTTTTTCGTGGTTCCAATTTTCGGTATCGGGCACTAGTTAGGTTACTAGTTTGCGCACATAGCACGCCCACTTATGGCCCCTAAAATTGTACACAGCGCCTGACCGGAACAGTTATTAGAGATATCTCGGAAAACCGAATAGCGTCATGCAGTATTTACGCGTACCTTATCATGGTTACGATATGCGCGAGTCAATTTTTAACCTCAATACCCGCTAATAACGTGACCGCCTGACGTAATTTGCGGATCAATTACACCAAGCGCTATTTTTACATAAAGTTTAAAAATTGCTTAAATGGGCACGTGCGGGTGTTTGACAACCGGGGCCGGCCGGCGAGATCTTTTATTTTAGGTTATGTTTGTATTTATTTTAATTATTACTTAGTTTTATTAGGTAATTTGATATTTAAGTAGCTGGGATTAGTTTTAATTAAATAAATATGGCCCAAAATATGGATTCCACCTCTTCCAATATTAAAGAACCTATAAAGAGGCTTAGGTTTACACCAGATGACGACTTAGCCCTTCTAAGATAATTTGTTGCTTGTTGCCCTAAACCCACTGGCAGACGTTGAACAATAAAGCACTGGAAATAAGCACTTTAGCCCTTTAGTTTTAAAATACCTAGTAAACAAAACAATTTCAAAGTTTTAAATTCAAAGTTTAAATAGCGGACGCGACGCGAACAGAATTCTTTCCGATCCGATAACTATAAATGAAGAGAGTTAATACCACCTCACGTAAAGGATAACACCTGGCCTTATTAACGTCCATGCACGCTATTCGGTTTCGCAATATATCTCTATTGCGCTGTTTATTGTCATTTTACGCCAGTTTATTTTTGCGCACAGGAAATTTTACTCGTTTGCACATCGTCATAAAAAAAATTTTCGTGCCACGAATTAGGGATAAGATTTTTATCTGTATACATATAGTATACCTAATCTGTGGTAGTAGTCAGACATACAGCTGTAGTAATATTTTGGTTTAATGGCCACAGCTGCCATGGCTATCCGGCCGGGTTAATAAAAATTAAAAGAAAACATTAAAAAATTATAAAGGTGGAATAGTATACGGTTTTATATTAACTCTAATTCTTTGAAGTTTATAAAAGGCATTTATAAAAAAGTATATATCCTTCAAATCCTTCAGTTTAATAGCTGTTAGTAAGAAGTTTCGCTTTAAATATGCGCACATAGTGCACACACTGTTCTTTTTTACTGAAATAATTAACTTTTCTTACTTTATCGCTATAGATAGTTTCCACTCGAAGAAAACCTGCTATCTACTGGAGCACAAGCCCGTGGAGGCCGGCGATTTGCTCAGGGTTGTGATGCGACGGGAAGGCACCTACCTGGACTTCCACCTCGACGACCAGACGACAGCTTAAAATGTCATAAACGTCACAAATTCGTTCGGCGCGACTCTTCGCTCTCCTCCGAAGGGTTAACTTGTACCTTTATCGATGTTATCGACAACGGTGAACCGTCACTATAATTGTGATTCGTTTTACTCAGATCATTTATTGTAAACAGGGCTTAAGGCAAAGTCTGCCCAGACCATAGTTTTTTTTTTAATTTATTTTAGTTATAGTAAATTAATTTGGTGTCAGAATCTACTATGGGAAGTCACATTTTTTTTATAAATATTTCATTGCTACTAAATCCGTCGTCACCCTGTATATTCGCCTACTGAAATTGAATTATTTTTTTATTTATATAATGCCACCGGGTATAGGATCCATGGACACGTTACAATGGCTTACCCAAAACGCTGTTTTCATTCGATTATATAGTACAGGGTGTCCCATTTTCGTGTGTTTTACAGTTCCCATTCTCGTTTATGAGTATAGGTATAAAGATATACGGTTTTCACCCCACTGAATTTTTTATGAAACCGAATTTGAAAATGAAAATTTTGCGAATTTGAAACTTTAACCCTTTGTATAGTCTGTCCAATGACAAGATTCTTGACAGTGATAGATGTGTCTGTCATTTTAATCTCAAAGCAGTTTATTTAATTTTACAAAGAAATAAGTTGGTAGAACTGGAACGCATAGCAGGAAATTAATATATTTAAAATTTGACTGATAAGTGATTACTTTAAAATATTGTGAAATTGTGAAAAAAAACTGTATAAAACTGAAAAAATGTAATTGAGTTATTTTATTTAAAAAAAACGGTATATATTAATACAAAACAAAACACCACATAAAAAAATATAAAAAAGAACCATTTCTTACTTTCAAGCTTTAATAATATAACTTATGTACAAATACAAATTTGTAATATTCCGGAGGAATAAATAAAACAACTTTAGATTACTTTAAAATATTGTGAAAAAAAACTGTATAAAACTGAAAAAATGTAGTTGAGTTATTTTATTTAAAAAAACGGTATATATTAATACAAAACAAAACACCACTTAATAAAAAAAATATAAAAAAGAACCATTTCTTACTTTCAAGCTTTAATAATATAACTTATGTACAAATACAAATTTGTAACATTCCAGAGGAATAAATAAAACAACATAAATATAACAAACTATTTTATTAATAATAACACTTACCAAATTTTATACCTTAAAGGTTGATTAATTAACTATAGTCTTATTTTTTTTTAAACCATTACCTTTTGACATTATTTTTCTGCAGTACTAAAATCCATTATTTACCTATCGTGTGATGTCGATATTTTACAGCTACTACAGTAGTATATGTTTAGTACGATCCTTGTACCATATACGAGATGCGCTTATCTACCACGAGATGATATACAAACTTTATTGATGGTAACTTTATTGGTGTATAAGACTTTCTGCCTGAACAGCGAGTATTATCTATAAACCTGTGCTCTGGGTCGATTTCTCCTCCACTTGACTTCAATAGACACAAAACACACGTAATAACACGAATCAAAATGCATCATCTTCCAAAACGCAGATATTTGACATAAGTTGACACAAAATTATAACCTATAATTTGGCAAGACTTTGACAACCCTCAAAAATCTAAAGGCCAGTTCATACGCATCAGCGTTCGTTTGTCGTTCGTCGTTCCGTCAAACCAATAAAATTGGCATATGATCTGTCATTTTTGAAATAAACCAATAAAACTGGTTAAAAACAAGAGACGACTCATGACGGATTTATATTTAAACCTCTCCATAGTTAATTTAAAAAATATTAGAAACTTTTTAGTAAAATAAATATATTGGTATGGGACGTCATCTGCTTTTCTTCTGTCATCGTCTGTCGAAATCTTACCTGAGAAAAGAAACAGAGTATAGTAACCCCTTGAGTCCCATAGAGTTTTTCACGTAGAATAAGTGGGACGGTTCCAGTGAAAATCTAGTTAATTAGCCACTGAATTCTACTTGAAAATATAAGATAACCGAGATACAAAGGGGACCGCAAAATTTTCAAATTCACCCTGTATTTCATGAACTGAAAGGAACAAGGCTTGGGCAAATCTGTGTAGAATCTTTAGTTTCATAAAAAAGTATTCTAAATTTGAAAAACGCATCTTTGTATATCTATACATACAATATCTACACTGTAAAATACACGAAAATGGGATACCCTGTACTTCGTATGTATTGAAATATAAAAGAAGTTTTTAGTGATTTAAAAAAAAATAACAAGCGAAGAAATTTTCGGTCAAATTTAAAGTGTTATATTTTTGTTATTTTTAGTCCTATTTTCATGAATTTTTTAGCAAGCTGTATACAGGGTGTCCAAGGCTGAGCATGCATTAGAAGTTTCTAGAGAACCACAATATCTAGATCGGAGATTTTTTGCACATCATTGTTTTACAACGACATCTATCGATTAAAAATATTTTCAATATGGCGGCACTTCCGGAAATACCGGAAGTTGACAGCAACTTTCTTATTTTCAATTGGTATCCCCATTTTTTATTACATACTTAAATTTTCTGTAAAATTCTATGAATATTGATGTTAAACACTCTATATCTAACATTAACCGTTTTTGAGAAAAAAAAATATTTTAAATTTTTGGATGAAAAAAACTACCTGTGAAAAAAATGTGTATAGCCTAAAAGTCCAATTTAGTGATTACCACAGCCATTGTCACATAAAGAGAATACATGTGGCTATCTATTTCAAAAATTAAATTCTTCAAATGTCATATAATAATGGCGGTAGCTGTCATGAAATTGAGTGATTAAAAAATTATCATAAATCATTTTTTTCAAATGGAAACCCACTTTTTTTTATTTCACTAATAAAACGGTTTTTCAATTCGTTACTTTTTAACTATACATGTTCCTATACCTGAAATAAATCGTTTATTTAAGATTTAGTTTGAAAACGGATATTTTTCATGATTTTATCTAGCTTCCTTTGACTTTAAGTGTCAAACGGTCAGACAATTTATTTCCATCTGTCAGAAAAATAATTATTTGAATTTCCTATAGTACAAATACTGCCTGCTTAAGACTTTAAAAAGTGTATTTATAAAAATATATCTCGTATTTTCGCTCTTTAGTAATATCTAATAGTTGATATTATTAATAATATTCCGTATGATCGAAAAAAAAAAACAGCGCAAAGTTGGCTCGAAAATGATGCTGCTTTTTGAACAAAGCGTCACCATATAATATGGCCAGATCTATTGTTTTACATCACTTGACGTTTAAAATAGGCGACTGGTTAAAATCAAGAAAAATATACGCTTTAAAACTAAATCTTAATTAACTTAAAAACGATTTATTTTAGGTATAGGAACATGTATAGTTAAAAAGTAACGAATTGAAAAGTCTTTTTACTAGTGAAATAAAAAAAAATGGGTTTCCATTTGAAAAAAATGATATATGATAATTTTTTAATCGCTCAATTCTATGACAGCTGCGGCAATTATCATATGACATTCGAACAATTTAATTTTTGAAATAGATAGCCACATGTTTTCTCTTTATAGCATAGTGGCTGTGGTAATCACTAAATTTGACGTTTAGGCTATACACATATTTTTGACAGGCAGTTTTGTTCGTTTAAAAATTTTAAATATTTTTTTTCTCAAAAACGGTCAATGTTAGATATAGAGTGTTTAATATTAATATTCATAAAATTTTACAGAGAATTTAAGTGCATAATAAAAATGGGGGCACCCATTTAAAATAAGAAAGTTGCTGTCAACTTCCGGTATTTCCGGAAGTGCCGCCATATTGAAAATAATTTTAATCGATAGATCTCGTTGTTGTCTTTGAAACTATGATGTGCAAAAAATTTCCGAGCTAAATGTTGTAGTTCTCTAGAAACTTCTAATGCACGCTCAGCCTGGGACACCCTGTATAAAATATTGAAAATTAACCAAAGCACGTATTGGCATGAATCAAAAAACAAAATGCTCAGGAGTCATGGTTCTGACCGTAAAATAATATTTTAGGAAAATTTACAGACGAAATTATTGCACAGGGTGTTTTAAATTTAGGGTAAAAAAACAACCCCTCGATTAACTCTGTATAATTTGCCAAATACTAAAGTTTATAAGAAGCTGAGTTACGAATAATTAAAGTTGATATAATTATACAGGGTGATTTTTAACCTATACGCATAAAGTTGGGAAATTATTGCTGATGACAAATAATGACTAATAATGAAAAACAAGTTAGTAAAATATTTTTATTTACGGAGATAACAAACTATCTACGTATATAAGATGCTAATGTTTATCTGTGTCGTCTCTACTGAAGTAACGACTTGCTCTAGAAAAAGTTGCTTTTTTACTAACAGTATACAGCATGCTAAAAAATTCATGAAAATAAGGCTAAAAATACCAAAATATAACACTTTAAATTTGATCTAAAATTTCTCCGTTGCGTTTTTTTGCATCAGAGTAATAGAAACAAGTATTTTTAAAGGATATATTCATACAGTGACTGTCAGATCTATAGTGCCACTTTAATTCAGATAAGCAGATTATTTTTTTTTGTTATATATTCTCTTGCCAGACAAACTATACCGGGTGCGTCTCAAAAGTGGCTCACCCCTATAACTTTTTTATTTTTCCAGATATAACAACGAGATTTGGTATGTTAGTATATGGCATAAATTGGGATTGATTGACGTATTCAATTATATTCGGTCACTTCCGGTTTCACAGGAAATGACTACAACTTTTGATTTTTAAATAGCACCCCCGGTATATTTTTACTTTATTCGATAAAAAATGACACTCTAAATCGAATGACATATCATATGTCAACTTTTGACATAGTCACTCAAAAACAAATTGTATTTTAAATTTCAATCTAGAGTGCCATGGCTGTGTTAAAAACACTAATTTTTAATCAAGGAGCCTTGGAAAAGTAGATTTGATTGTCTAATGTTTTTAGTATCTTTTCCTGGCCGGTTAAAAGATGCCCAAATTGTATTTTTAATCATATCTCAATTTTTTCAAATGGAGCGAGGGTGGATCATTAGCATATTTGGAAAATGCATTTTTTAGGAATAATTTGATACCACACACTTGGTATTTCGAGTCAAATTGTCGTTATGAAGCGCATGTTACAATTTGAAATAAACCATATGCGAAAATGTCAAAAGTTGACATATGATATGTCATTTCCTATTGAATAAAATAAAAAAAAAACCGATGGTGCTATTTAAAAACCAAAAGTTGTAGTAATTTCCGGTGAAACCGGAAGTAACCGAAAACAATTGAATATGTCAATCAATCCTAATTTATGTCACATACTAACATACCAAATCTCGTTGTTTTATCTAAAAAAAAATAAAAAAGTTATAGGGGTGAGCCACTTTTGAGACGCACCCGGTATATATCTGCTTTCCCTTTAGTTACTTCTAAGTCTGCGTCTGATCACTTTTGAGCTGGCTATAATGAACACATACAACAAAAAGGTACAAATGAAATTTGCTATATAATGAGAAAACAACGTCAAGTTACCTTCGAGTTATCCATGGGAGATTTCTAAGATAACTTGACGTCTTTTTTTATCATACCTTGAATAAATTTATCTGTTTTTTTTTTGTAAAATTCAAAA